GTACGTTTCAAATTAGATACGAGACGTTGCGATAATAGTAATAAGAAATATATCTCGAAATTGACTATCATTTATATCTCTTTTATTTTCCTTTTATTTTTAAAAATATGGTAGATTTATATAATAAATAATATGTACATATTGTACAATATGATACATTATATATATTTATATATATATATATATATATATAATAAATTAATAAGTAAATGTAATTAGTTGTTAATAATAAGTAATTGTAATTAGTTGTTACTAAGCATTCGATGATGTAGAGGTAGAACAATGTGTTCGGAAAATAGTATCGCTTGGGCAAAATTAATTATATCAGACTGAATAATCCGGTGAAATTGATTGTATCAGATTAAATTGAGTATATCCACATGCATTATATCAAATGATTGATTGTATTTCGGTAAAAAGTTTTATATGATCATAAACACATCATTAAAATTATTACAATATACTATTTTATTTTATTTTTTATAGTTTATAAAGAGATACATATTACATAGCAATAATTGAACTTCTATATCTGATACTTTATTTTGATATAATATTAAAAATTATTTGAAGATAGGCATTTGTGCTTATCTATTATTTTCTCCCCTCGTCTTTCGGTTTCGATTATCTTCTTTTATATACAGCGGACAGCTCTCGTTTTTCTTCGGTAAATGAAAAATAAGCGAAATCCCTGATCGCAATCCGCGCTGCTTAGGAAAGATTCTCGCCACGTCGGCAGGACTTGGAGCTATTTCGAGCGTCCGAGAACCGGCGAGGACGAATTCCCGACAGATGTTACCATGGTTGCTTACGGCCCACCCCTGCGGAACCTAATATAACCGAAATTAACCATGGCGAGCGGCGCGTCGAATCAGATTTTTCTCGTCCTTTTTCCCTCGTTCCGCTTTCCCTCGCCATCTTGCGCCACGGAATTATACCATGCGAGAACATTTCAAAACGTTCTCTCTCTCCGCGAGATTATTATTATTTTTTAATTATACTTGTTTATCTTTCTTTCTTTCCGTCTATCTTTCTTTCCATTTCTGTCTCTCTATTTCTCTGATGAATGCGAAACGGAAAACGCGGCTGAAGTTGCGCGTGTTGCACCCCTTAATCCTTTCGTTGCTGCCATCCATTCTAATGGAGTACATATTCAATTTTTTACTGGAATTTATAATATATATTTTCGAAAAAGGAAATAATATTTAATTTCCATCGTGTTTTATGCTTTCAGTTGTTGTAACTCATATTATTACATTACATATATTTATACGTAGTAATGCCAATAATGTGTGCCACGAAAGAACTTTCTTTAAGTATAGTTTACATTTCGTTTGTTATATGTATATTATCTACGTTTTATCTGTTTCTCTTTTATGACGTTCTATATTAAATTTCTAATACGCATACGAACTTTGCCACTAAAATTTCTCTTATCGTTACTTATTTGGTCGAAGCGTGTAACAGAATCCATAGATAGCACTGATGTGTGTCAGTATACTTAAATTTTAACATATAAATTTAATAACAGCCACTACATTAAAGAATAAAAATAATCCAAGGAGAAGTTTTTTCTTTTCTTGCTTCTCTCTTATTTATGTTTCCTCTAGCACGTGCGTTCTTCCGGCTTCAATATCTGTCAATATTAGCACTTGATATATGTTTTTAGATGTTTCTCGAAATATTCTTATATTCTTAAAGATACATATTTAGAAAAAAAATCTAATAAGATTTAATATGATTTTGAAATTATATAATCCATTAAATATATTCTTTTTTATTTTATATTTAGTTTTATATTTTATTCACTATGGTAAGTGATTTCTAAAATAAATTTAAAATTTTCTGTTTTTACATATTCAATCTATCATTCAAAACAAAAGAAACTTATTAAAACGTAATTATGGTTTCAAGTGTTATTGAAATAAAACGAATGAAAATTAGAGATAGAGATATGCGCGAGTTATGTGGAATATATACTGTCATTATTATTACAATGATAATTCTAATATCGCAGCATGATGTAACATTGTAAAGATACGCAACTAAGACATAAAGATATGTATTGTAAGACAGAGAAGATAAAACAATAATTAGTATTTATCGATATTCCCTGCAATATTATGTATTCAGAGAGTTAAATTTGACCTACATAGTAGTTGTATGATTAGCATAATGATTAAAGTGCGAAGCGACTGACAATCGGGAGGCAGAATGGCGATTTCCTCCTATGTTGGGTTTTGTGAAACCTAACCGTTGTAAAGTCTAATAAATTAACACAAATGATAGAGATTCTGGAGACGAGTTTGATAAGAGCAAGGCAACGAATTGAATGCAAATGTACATACTCAGATTCTGAATAGAAAATTAAATATTAGTGTAGAAGTATTTATCAAAGTAATAATTGTAACAATAATTATATTGTAAGTTGACTGTAACAATATTAAGTAATTTATAAAATTCTATCCAGGAATAAATTTTAGAACAAAATTTCAGTAATTACTGAACTAATTGCTTTTTAAATTGTTGCTTCTGATGTGGCACTAATTCAATTTTTTCTCAAAGATTTATACATGTTTTTGTATTTTATACATTATTAATCAATATTATTTTATTTATATAATATATTGTATATTAAAATTATATAAACATAAATAGTATATATTAAATGCATTATATGAATCATTTATAAATATATTTCATTCTATATATATGTATATATATATAAATTATATTAAAATATAGAATTATTTTCTATTTCTCAAAGAGCTAATTTTGCCGAAATATTAATCCATTTATGTCGCTAATCGAAGCTTCATCTGTGTTGGCGCATTCACTTCCACATCACGTCGTGCGAAATTTGAATGACTTTTCGTTGTGAGAGATTGCGAACTACGTGTTTTCAAGAGATCGAAGCTCGACTCAGCGTACCTAGTTTCTTAACAGAATATAGCAGTTGGCAACTAGGACTTTCGTCTGAGCGAAAACGCATACACTCCATACTACAGACGCACGTGCTAATTCACTTCCACGTCGTCTTACTCGATGAGCTTCCTCATATACGTGTCCTCCTGACCTCAACCGTTTCAATTCGCCGTTTGTATTGACTCACATGGGCAAATAAAAAGCGAACAGATACTAAGAGAATGATAGGAGAATACGCGATAATAGCCAGTTAAGAATACTTTGGATATCTTAAATTCTTTATCTCTTTTATTATTTAATAATTAAATAAATTTAATTTAGTATCTAATTAATTAAATAAGTTTAATTATTAAATGTCCAATTTATTAAATAATTAAATAAGTTCAGTTATTAAATTATTGAAAATAATGAGGTTTCATTGTTTAATATATAATGTTGCAATTTTAAATATAGTATTAATTTATAAATTTATTTATTTATAAGCGTGATATTTAAACGATTAATTTGACATTACGATTACTTCACAAGGCGCTATACTGTCTCTGCGCGATTTACTACATGAACAAATCGGCGTGATAGATAAAAAGATAATTTCACTGAATTTCCTGGATGGTTCGCAGGAGGAAAGATCCGAGAATCGAACCGTCAGCACGGTGGAGTTCGAGCCGGGTGTGGAGGATCATGGGAAATCTATCACCTGCCGAGCAGAGAATCCAAACGTGACCGGACTCTTCGTCGAAAAGTCCTGGAAGATCGACGTCGTATGTGAGTACACATTACATTTTTCCTTAACGTTCCAATTTCTCGCAGAACCGTAAACTCGCTCACGACCGACAGATCGCGAAACTGATCGCGGTAAATCGAATACGACATCATGACGAATGGTACTTTACAGCTTTTGTCAATCTCTCTTTCTCTTTTTGCTCTTCCCTTCCCTTTCTCGTTCTCTTTTGACTCGTTTCATTTGTCGATATCGCACGCATATATCGTAAAAAAAGAAAATGAAGAAACTGCAACAATCATTCGACATCCTCAATCTCATTTTCATTCGAGTCCCGAATCGATCGATTTTATGAATCTTCACTCCGCACAAAACGCACCTTTCCCATCCTTCGAGTTCACGCATTATTTTCTTTTCACGTCTTACGATGCTTCGCCTTTTTTTACAACCAATAAAAAGCTCTCTCTGCAAGATTTCTTACAAATCGCTGTAAGAAATTCGGCGACGCCGTGTCGGAGCCTTTCAATTCTGATTTCAATTTAATCACTATAAACCTAGTCATAATTTCTGGCTACGTTTTATGTCTCTATTACTTTCATTTACTGATAGCCAAGTAGCTCCTTCGGTTCCATAGATTCTTCCTTTCTATTTAATGCAATTTCTGTTTCCCTTCATATACACAATAGGCAGATAGATATTGTGAGATCTCGATATCTTTAGTTTCTTATATATCCGTGATTCTTTATCTTAAAAGTAAACGTAAATGTATCCCGATACATTACGTTCAAATTGTTTTCCAGTATCGAGCGGTTTCATCTCGTTTTAGCACGATATTATCTTTTCTCTTTCCTCTCTGTCTCTCTTTCTGTCTTGTTTATTTTAAATAGTTATAAGCGCGATGTAGAAATGTTATATGTTGCGTCCAGTCTGTCTGCGCTCATGAAATTTACCACGCAATTGCGCTCATCCGACCTCGTAAACTTTACGTTCGACTTGTCAAGAATTATGGCACGTTTCTCAGTGTATATTAAAACGACGAATGACAACACAGCCAAGAGAGGAAGGCGCATCTTATACCATCCAGCGATATTCGTTCTTCAAATGAGTCGCGGTTTCGATGTTATCGCTCTAGAAATTTTCGAACGTTTATGTGTTTTATATTCGATCGCGTTGGAAAATGATTGCATAGCTGGCTTTTCTACCTCACGCGACACTATTTTCTCGCGAGATTATTATACGACACCCTGTAAAATTCATCATCTTACGCCGCGCGATACATAACGCGTGGACAACGATTATAAATTTCGTACCAGTCGTAAAAGCTGCGTCAGAAGAAATAATAATAACGCTTTTATTGCCATACTGTTGTGTGGGTATAAAAGCAAACTTTATACGCGCATACAGACTCTCGGGGTTCTTTAAGTTGCAGATAAACCGCCCTGATGCTCGCGATAAAACGGTTTAAGGCGTCAGCGATTCCTAATCTCGAAAGTTTTCCTGCGCAAACGTCATCCGTGTTGGTGTCTTTAATCTATCGCCAGCGAAATTTTTCCCAGCACCTAATATTGCCGTTAAGTTAACAGTTAAGTAATAGCGTTTTAATGAAACTTGACAGTCGATTTATTGTGAAAATGGAAAAAGAAAACATAAAGACTTAACCTTCCGTCGACAATGTGAAATCTTCACCCTTCTCAATCTGAAACTTCTCTGAACTTCAATGCAGATTTTTGTGTTGTTATGGACTATATAAAAATCTGAAAAAATTCTTACATATTTGTGAAAACTTTAATAATCAGTATTTATTATCACAAAAGTTGAATTGTATTTTATTTATTTTTTACAGATTTAAATTTATCTATTAGAATTCACAATTTAAAAAATTAACTGTGCCATCAAAGTCTAATTTTACTAATGAAAGGTTAAATACAAAAGTGATCTAGTCTTTTGAAATATAATACTTAAGAAATCGATGTTTGATCATCTTGAAAATAAATATATATATATATATACAATAAAATAGTAATATTAGTAACAAGAATTAATCTAATACAAATAATATGAAATAAAATGAAATAAAGTAAATCAGTAATATTACATAGCTTCAAGAATAAATTTACAAATAAAAATAATACAAATAAAATGCCTAAATGAGCCGTTGATGATGCTTAAATTAAATCTCTAAATTATCTTAAGTAAATTTCATTGTCTGAACCTAATTATTAATCTAAATTTTGTATTCTCAGCTTCTTACGCTTTTGAGTTTTTTGAAAATTGGATTAGCAGTACTGATGCAATAAATCAAATACTCTTTAAAGGAGCGATCCAGCATCGTGATATAAATTTATATCCACGAACATGGACGCAAAGGTAATCCTTGATAGAATAGAGACCACTCTTACGATACTGCGGGATGCCGTATATCACCGTATGTTCATTTTAATTGTGTAATACATATAAATAACGGAGAAAAAGTGCGACACGGGTGGAAGATTCGCGTGCCGCCTCCAGATAGTTTTTTTCAATTTTGCGGAGGCGCGCGTTACTTCGGCGGAGATAAATTTCTCGATTCCATACGGTTTATCGTTCGTTCTCATCTGTCCGGTTGCGTCCATTGCACTTGTATGTCGAGCAGAAATATAGCGACCGGGAAATACGTAAGGAGCACGGACTAGTATTCACGTAACAGGAAAAACTGCAGAATACGGGAAACGGTGTCATGTCACGTATTCGATTACGGTGACCGTTCCTACGAAGTCCGGACTCGGAATTACACCTTAGAGAGACGGTCCTGCCTCTGACGCCCTCGGCTTCGCCGTCACCATCGTCTCCGACAGACAACGGCTAGAGAAGATTGAGTTTCCGGTAATTCCTTCCAATCTCTCTCTCTCTCTCTCTCTCTAATATTAACGAACCTTGCCGTAATTTATAAACGTACAAAAAACGAGACAATAAATTAGTAGTAACGGGATTTGTTAAATTGGGAGACATTACAGTGGGATGATACAGTCAAGGATGAACCGACGCGATTAAACTACTATTATCTTATATTAGCTTAATATTCTTCCGGATATAGTTCTGGGAAGAAATTGGGTTGACTTAGAAAACGGAATTTATTACGATAAATCCGATAATCTTCGCGAGGAGATACACCGTAAGTGAACTATGAAAATGAATCGGAAAGGCTCGGTATTAAACTAATGCGCATAGTAAATGCCAGATATCACGAGCAAATAAAAGGCTTGATTGCTGGCAGCTATCCGTAACTGTGAGCCGTTAGAGAACATCTACGAGCTACTGTGGGAATGGCGCGAAATATTATTGAGAGTCTCACGGGCAGGAAAAATATCAGAGCTAATGGAGAGAGAGGTTGAAGATTATGCCTCGCGGACGTAGCTTCATCGAGATATGTGTGCGCAGTCTCGGTAATGAAAACAGCGATTTACGAAGCTTTTATCACTTATATTTACAATATTATATAAAAATATCTGAATGAGCGAAGCATGTCGTAATATTAGAGTCTCTCTATTTCTTCTCCTTTATACTAATATTAATGCCATTTTTAACCCTTGAACGCCTCACACGAGAACACACTGGTGTATGACATACCAAGTCAAATCGATTGCTTATAACATTCATAAAAATGAACATATTGTAGACAAATTTATTTTTATCGAAACGCTAGATGTCAAGGAATATTATAATACCAAGTATAAATGTACGTATCTTTAAAAAAGTTCTAAGCAATAAAAAAAAACATTAGAAAATCAGGTATGCCATATCGAAATGACATTAAGAATTAAGATACAAAAATTATATATTAATAAACAATCAACAAAGAAAGAGAGATTGATGTAGCAAAATATATACGCAATCCTGAAATATTCCTTGTCAGTGCATAAAATATAGAAAAGTTTTAATATTTTACTTTTGCAGATCCGCCGATAGTATCGTTAAACCTCGGATCGACCTTAAGCCCAGAGGACATTAAAGAAGGGGATGACGTGTACTTCGAGTGCCATATTAGAGCCAACCCACCCTGGTCCAAGCTCGTCTGGATACACGACGTAAGGATTCTTAAATATATTCTCGTATACTTCTTTTTTATGATATCGCGTTGGTTCCGAAAATACGACGTCACGTAAATTTTATGCAGTATCCGCATATAGGAAGACTTTCATGGTAGGTTTCGTCGATATGTGTGACGCTCTCATCTCACTTCGTACATCGAACATTGAGTAGAACTTTAAATCCTTTATTTGCATAATATATGAGTTACCATGTAACGATATTGACGCGTGAAGAGAAGCCTTCGATACGATGCGGCCTTCATGTCGATACGGGCCTATTTTCATAACGAAACTTTCTATCGTAAATTTTACCCTCAAACTTGTGGCAAATAAAAGCAATATAAATAATTTTATGTACAACGATAGACATCATTTTATAATTTTATATTTTCGCTGCATTGTCAATAATTTACTTTAAGCATCCGGTAGATGCGAGATAATTTTTAATTATTCTGATTGTTTTAAACGATCGGAGTTATACAATTTTAAATGATGTCACTTGTAACGTTGTGTCGAGAAGCTATATCGAGCCAGATTGAATGCCATACATAATTTACTTCGCATTCGTGACGTTATCGTATTTCGGAGAATAAAAGACGCGCAACGAGCGTAAAACGGGTATCAAAGCGTAACCAACGTTAGTCGGTCCCAGCTCATACGAGAGATAGTTGCCTCGAGAGACCGTCTGCTTATTCTAGGCAGCGCTACCTGAATTTCGAAACGTAGCCGCCGCCGCCATCGCCTCCGTTGCGCATTGTGTATGCAACCTACCGGCGCGGCAATTGCAGCGCAGACGGAAGTTAAAGGAACGCTCCCAAGGCGTATTCGGGACTATCAGCGACAAACTTCGGCCTGTGTGTATCGGTGACTGCCACGGAAGCACACTTCCTGAATTCTAATCGTCTCGATCACCGGCTGCGACCTCAGAATCACGCGGTACACGTGACACGCGATCACGAATAGCTGTACATTAATTTTTCATTGTCCCCGCAAGTCTCCTATACGTGAGGAGTCTCATTGAGACGTTCGCAAAATACATATGTAACTCGTTTACACTGTTACATCTTAACTCTCTGTTCGTAATATTTTTACTTCCTTTATCTACAATCTGCGTCCTTTTTATCCAGCCCAAGTTTTTTTTTACTGTCCTAGGCTTTCAAAAAAATGTGGCGAAATTTAATTTAGCTTTCAACTTTTTCTTTTTAATTTTTTTCGACCTTTTTCCTTCTTTAAAAAAGTTTTTTAGAATTAGATATTACAAGATATTTTAGAACCATACTCCGCCTTCTTTTACTTCGAAGAAATTTGAGAGTGAAATTTCGCTTGTGCAAAAAAAAGACTTAGATTGCAGACGAAAGGTTAATAAAGTTCAATTCTGCAGACATAGTTTAACTCGTTTAAATTACGAAGTCGCGCGATTATAAATAGCTGCGCGTTAATTTCCATTGGCGCCTTCGATAACTTCTTCTCTAACTGTCTCTCAATAAGAATAACCTTTCTACGTTCAAGCACAAACTTTATGAGATTTATTTTTTTGTTTTATTTGACCAAAATAGAAGTTTGATTAAATTCAATGCGCTGCAGTTAATTCAAGACGCGATTATAAATGATAACGTATTATTTTTATCAGACTCACTGAACAACTCACACATTTCATCGTATGTAAAGAAACAACTTAACTGGCATCTTTCAATTAAAATCAAAATAATTTCCTAAACTTTATGACTAATTAAATTTATATACACAGCCAATCCAGAAATATACGCTGTACTTTGAACTATCGCAATTTCTCACAATCTTCCTTTCTTGCTCATCCTAAAGCATTCGACAGAATATTTAACGAACATTTCTTAAAACTCATACATTCATAATTTTGTTTGCTACCTTAAATGGAAGATCCGCTGCATTCTCGAGCTTTCAAAGCATCGCACTCTCCCCTTTTCAACCCCCGTGGATCTTAATGCATTAATCCAACGGCCATAACACCTGGCGGAAGATTGCGGTGCACATGTATACGCTATAATTATATTACCATCGGCTACGCTAGCCAGGAATCCTGCAGGAGCGCGCGGTGCGATGCACTAGCTTTCCTCCGGTCTTTTCCGGGATCAGCCTGGGGCCTCATATCCCTCCCGTGTTCCGTTCACTTTAACTCGGCTCATCCACCGCTGCCCCGCCGTCTCTTTTCCTCTCTTTGCTCCCACCCTCTTTTCGTTTCGTCGTACAGCGACCTTTTGCCGGATATACGTCGCGAAGGGCTGCAGGAAACGGGCTAACGGTGGGCGGCGAACAGCTGCTACCGCGTAAGAGATTTCCCTCGAAATTGCATCTTAAAAATATGATCCGACTTCATTCCGGAGGAAGAGCGCCCGACTATCGCACCGGCTATGTCATCCCCACCTCTGCTTCTCCTCTCTTACCCTACTGCATTTTTCGTCTACGACTTCTTCTTGCTTGCGGATCGTCCTCTAGTCGCGCGATCCGCTTCTCACCCTCTAGCTAAGCTCCTCCTAGTCTTTGTACGTATCAAACGACGGCTGGATTATCTAACCGCACCTGATTCGCGCCATTATCGTAAAACCAGTTCTTAAAACTATCCACGATCACACACACATACGTGTACCATACTTGGACTTCTTGGTGATTATCGAACTTCCGGAAATAACGGATACGTTGAGCACCTTTCTTCTAGAAGAATAGTACGTTTAAATATAAGAGATGAGTGCCAAAGATTTCTTGACATAATGCGCTCGTTCTTCTCTCCAAATGATTATTTTTTTAAATAGAGTTTAAAATTGATATCCATTTATTTTCTTCAAATTCTAAATTGACAATTTTTTTTATACGAATAATTAATATAAGCGTATATTAAAAGGTACACATATCAAGTGTTATAACAATGAAAATAATTGATTTTTATATTGATTTATTTTTATGTATTGATTTATTTTTCGAGTCTTGAACGCGATCATATTTAAATTTCGCTGGGGTTGGTTTTTACGTTTCCGCTCGGCTCATAAATGAAATATTTCATTCATTCGGCGATCCCTTTCACTCATCCGAAAAGGTTTGCCTAGGAATTATAAGGGCCGTTGGCACATTCTATCTGCCAATCAATCCCGAACTAGCAATCGGACCGAGATCTGGCACCACCAGGGTCTTAGAAAAGCGTTTCGGGCAGCAGTAACCTTTTGAGTGGCAATCGTAGAGAGGAAGAAAGAATCATGAACGGTCGGAGGGTGAACTTGGAAGGTGGAAACGACGCACGAGCAGAAGGGATTGAATGGAACCGGAAAGTGAAAGAGAAACGGAAATAACAGGGGCCAGAGAAAGAATAAGACGAAAAGGAGGAAGAAATCGAGAAGGCGAAGAAAGAAATGTGGGTTAGCCGACATAATGGAGTGCAGTGATTAAGTCGGTTCTATCATTCATGGGGACAATAGAGAAGTTCTGTACCTACCTGCAGCATCGACGAGCCAATCGGTCGGCCGGTTTAGACGAGGAGAGAGCCTGAAAGGATTCTCTCAACTCTTCATCTTTTCTCGCAAAGTGGATTGACCGAGCGTACTGCCGGAAGAGTCCCATTAATACCGTTGTCCTCGTGGACACGCAGAAAGATCAAGAATTTATCTCGAACTCCATTGAATCTTTCTCTCGTATCTAACTTTGCACCTTCGCTTCCTATTAAGAGACAGTTTGAATCCATTCTTTACAGAAAGTACAAGAATTAACAGCGAATACATCGCCCTGTCTTCTTTGAGAAACTTTCATTCAGTCGTATTGGAACGTTAACGTATTTGATGTTCATTAAAATAATATTGAAAAGAAAAAAATGTTTCTACTTCCTGATTTCCAGCGAATGGATTTCGCTAGCACGAAACGATATCGACCAAACTTGAAATTCCGCGTCGTCTCGCCACTGTTTGATGCGCTCGTATATCGGCGTCGTGGCTTTTGTACATACATCGATTGGATTGCACGAGCGCCAAGGATAACGGCTTCCGCGCTGCGAATTTACTGAGTGCATTTCCCTCACACGCGAGATTCAGCCCGACAAGTTCGGATCTTAATGCGAGAGCGCGAAGGAGTCGAAAAGCGTGAGCGCAAATATATGGATGTGTGTACCTGTGAACGTAGGTTTGCGAGAAGGTGGATGTCGAGAATTCGGCGGGCCGTACATCAATCAATTTCACTACCATCGCGATCGAGGCATGTCGGGGTTTCCGCTAAGGGCAACTTCCCGAGACTCTGAGTTGGGAGGAGAGTGGGAATGTGGATTCGTTTCGTATGATTTCGATCTCGCAATTTTTCGTTAGGTGATAAGACGAAGCGACCGGGAATCAGGAGCGATAGTGGATCGCCTAGTCACCTACAGTCTTCGCCTGGCACTCTTAAAAAGAGCCCTCGATAGTCGGCAACTTTCGAACAGCTGTTTGAAACTACTTCCATGCCGTATCTCCGATGTTCCCCTGCATGAATACACCGAACAAAATCTTGGACTATCGATCCCGGCTGATTTTAATGGCTCAGTACAACCATCCATTCCAATCGCCAAGCTTTCCTTGAGAATGTCAAAAACATTTATTTTCAAATCTAAATAATATGTATTTGGATATATTTTCAGCATATGTTTCTCGGACATAAAAAAACATTGACATAGTTGTTATAGTCTGAATTATTAAACTGCTTTTAATACTTCTAAAAAAGTTATAACATTTTATAACCTTTATAAAAGTTATATTTTACATACAATGTTTATTTTCTTCGTCAAAAAAGAGACTGCATTACTTTAATTTGATTTATAACTTTATAGTTGTTTTGTAACTTTTTAAAAAGAAAATAAATATAAATTTCAAGGAGTATAATTAAGTGGAAGTTTTGACAGTTTATACAAAATTATATCTTCTTTGATTTTGAAGCAACTTCTGTATACACACACACACACACACACACACACATACACACAAATATATAAATATTGCTTTTATTACAAATGC